AAAAAAAGAATTTGTTTTTAGATTAGAGACTGCCGAACAAGCTGTGTACCTTTTTCAAACTGGGTACCTATTTCCCTTTTGATGCAAAATTTTCCGATTTTTAAAAACAATAAGAATAATTTTTTTGGTTTTTTTTGGTTTTTTTTTTTGTATAGCGATGCCAAAGAACTTCAATCTTGGATTGATACTATAAATTTTGTATGTGCAAGTTATTCTGCTCAGCCTTTAGCAAGTGGCGTAGGAAGCGAAAATAAATTTCAAAGACCGCTTTTACCGTGTTCTCACACAAAATTAAAATTGGTATTGTTAAGTTTTTTTTTTTTTTTTTTTTTTCAGCAGACTATAAAACTCGCATGTCGTGCACTTTAACGTAAATAATTCCTTCTGGTTTTTGACGCAGAGAGAACAATTGGCCGATCACGAAGATAGAGTTCAAAAATTAGAAATGGCTCTTGAGGAACACAGGAGAGATCCACCCGATCGTTCGGCCAAATCTTTGTTTATTCAAAATTACAAGGAAAAAGACGCTTATTTGCAATACGAAGTAATGATTTTATTAATTGATGTTCCCCCCACCCACCCCACCCTCCCTTGCATTTTTTTTGTTTTAAGTCTCTGACGTCATTATGTGAAAATTATACGAAAAATTTATCGTTTTCAGATTAAAAGGTATAAAACCTACGTGAATATATTGCGTTTGAAAATGCCTCAATATTCGGATTCGATCATTGGGAATTCATTCGGTGATGATCACGTCGACGGAGGTATCGTACCTCCCCCAGTGCCAGATAGAAGAATAACACCGTCGAACAGGTAGCCGTTAAGGGGCGCTTGTGCCGCCATATTGCGGTTTGATTTGATATTTTAAAGCTTTGTCTTGTGTTCGTTTCGGTTTATTTATTTATTTATTTATTTTTTTGCGAGAATGTATACACTTTGCATTATGTGAGATAACCGGAAATGTTCCCGCCTCCTCTTTCTCCTCCCATTCTCCTCCTCCCGCCTTCTTCTCACTCCTCCTCCTCCTCCCGCCTCCTTGGTTATTTATTTTTTGCATACAATCATCCTCTGTCTACCTTCAATTTATTTGTTGCGTTTGTTTTTTTTTTTTGCATGCGATGTTTTTGCTTTGAATTTTTCGATGGTGTTTAAAAAAAAAAAAAAAAAACCGTAACGGTTTTTCTGGCACGTTTTTCCTCGCAAAAAAAAAAAAAAACTTTTTTATCGGTTTTAATTAATTTTTATTTTGTTTTATCAAAAACAAAAGCTATTATTATTATTATTATTATTTTATCCGAATTAGCTTTGATTTTTTTTTTGTTTTCTCTTTTTTTTTTTACAAAAGACTGGTTTTTATAGTTAATTGCCTACTACACGGTACAATTAGTATTACCGAAAAGGATTTTATGCTCTTTTTAATAGCGTAGATATGATATCGCTCGAGAAATTTCACCCCCCCTCACCCCCCCAAATGCCCCCTTGAATTATCAATCGAAGAAAATATATGTGTAACGGCATTGAAATTGAAAATTTCGTGTTTGTCGTTATGCTGATCTCATCAGTAAATAATAATAATAATAACATTTATTATTATTATTATTATTATTATCAATATTATTTTTAAGTTATACGTTTTTTTCAAATCGTTTGCGATGTTTACGAACGAAATCGCATTTGTAATTTTCTGATTATTATTATTATTATTATAAAATGGCAAAAGCTCATTGAATCGCCATTAAAAAAAAATTGATGATGATAATGATAATAATAATTGTTTGACAAAAACTCTTTTGGAAAGAGTTGTCCTAACGCCATTTTTAATTTTTAACGGTTTTTTTTTGTATTTCTCTCTCTTTTTTTTTTTATACAAATCGTATATGGATTTCGTCGTGGAAACGTTTTGGGGGCGGGAGGGGGGATGGGATGGGAGGGTGTAAAAAGGGGTTATTATTATCCATTACTATTTGTTTTTATTTTTGCTCAAATTTTTTTTTTTTTATGATAATTTTTAATAATGTTTTTTTATTCGTTGTTCCGACGGACGAAATAAGATTTCAATTTTTTTTTTTTTTTGTGAATTAAAAAAAACCATAAGACAAACAAACAAACAAACAGACAAACGAAAAAAAAAATATTTAAAATAATTTATAGCTAAGATTATGCCATATTTTTTAATTATTATTATTATTATTTTGTTCGTTTCGTCACTCTTTATTTTTTATTTTTATTTTTTTATTTTACTTTGTAGCATTTTATTATTGACGAGAAAAAAAAGTTTTATAATTATTATTATTATTATTATTATTATTATTATTATTATTATTATTATTATTATTTGTGTTCTTTATATTATTATTAATATTATTATTATTGTAATTAAGACTGGAGCAATGAGCATAATGCTTGACGCGAAAAAAAAAATATATATATATAATAGGAAACATTTTTTTCTAAGTTATTTTATTTAAAAATAATATTATTAATAATAATAATAATAATTAAAAGAAAGGAATTGAAATTTTGGCATAATTAATAAAAAATATATATATATATATATATATATATATATATAAATAAAATTTTAATTATTATTATTATTTATTTTATTCACGCGTGTTTTTTTTCTATTTGTATTTTGTCAATACAAAAAAATTTATTTATGTATATATATATAAAGGAATGTAAAAATTATTATTATTATTAATAAGAAAAGAAGGAAAGAAAGAAAAGTTAATAATTATCATTATTATTATTATTATTATTATTTTGTTTTTTAATTATTTTTTTTAACTGTCGATGACGATTGAAAAACGGTCGTTACTATTAATTAACCTTTATATAATCATCATCATCATCATCGTTTTCGATGACGATAAGTTAAACATAAGATCATGTCGATGTATATCAATAATTCATTTTTTAGGTTTTTCAATCCGATTTCATAGAGTTAGAATATTCTTATTATTATTAAGTTTTACGTCATCAAAAGCTATGTCGACAGCGGTACTTTTGTCGACGTTTTAAAAAAAAAAAAAATTTTTTTTAATTGTTTACATGAAGTTGCCGTCGGCGTTTTGAAATTTATAATTATCGTTTTGTTAAAAATTAAGTTGGCAACATATTCGAAAACCGTTATTTTTAAAAATGTTCCACAGTTTCGTTTTGTTCATCGGTGGTGATTGATTGAAGTTTGATTTTTTTTGTAAGTTTTAACAAAATTAATGTTTGGTAATTGAAAAAAAAAAAGAGTTTGTTGTAAAGTTTTCATGGTGGATCAATTAAACAAATAAATAAAAGGTAAGATATCGATAATAATAACAATAATTTAAAAAAAAAAAGAAACGTTTAATGTACCAGCATTCATTTTATACATTTATTATTATTATTATTATTATCCTTTGATAGTTATAGTGCATTTTGTATTAGATACCAACAAGAGAAAGCACGAAAGGTGTCGTTTTTTTTTTTTTAAATAATAGCATGAAAAAATTTGTTGTTGTTATCATGAACCTGGATTCAAGGTACAAAGCATTGAGTTGGTTTTAATTGTTAAGGTACAACTATCGTGATAACATCTACACAGGAGGAGTTGGAGGAAGAGGAGAAAGTAGCGGACCTGATTTAGGCTGACGTATGATTGGAGTTTTCAGCGCTTGCGTTGTTTAACATTCGTTTTATTATTATTATTATTATTAATTTAAATTAATTGGATTAACGTTAACACTTACTATTACTACTATTATTATTATTATTATTAATGTTATTAACGGTGTTTGTCATCATCGAAGCCATAAAAATAATTGTGCCATGTGATTTATTTATTACAATATTATTATATAATGATGTTTCTCTCTCTCTCTCTCTTTCACTCTCATGAAATCAATGAATAAAAACTGTGATTTTTTTTCTTTTTCTATTTAATAAGGACATTAATAATGATATAAGTTAAACGACGCTATTAAAAAATTAAATAAGTTATTAATAATAATAATAATAATAATAATATTGGCGATGAAACGTAAGAAGAAATATGCTTTTGCATTGATTATAAAAATAAAAAAAAAAAATTAAATTCGTCATTATTTATATTATAGGCTGTGAAAAAATTTATTAATAAATAAATAATAATAATAATGTAATTGAAAAATAAAGTGCTGCTGTCGTGCTGTCGTTATAATAATAATTATTATTATTATTATTTTAAAAAAATTTATATAATAAAAGCAATTAGCAAAAAATAAGAAAATTATTAATTAATTTTTTTTCTTATCGATTGTTGTTATTATCATCATCATTATTAATAATCAAAATTATTAAATTTATTATTATTATTATTTTATAAATTTTGCTCGTGCGTTAATAAATAAATAAATAAATAGAAATTTAAATATATATATTTTGTTCGCAATATTATTATTCGATTATATATTGATAATGTTATATTATAATTCGTAAAAAAACGACTATTATTATTATTATCATTATCATTAAAACATTTATTTATTTATTAATAAATAGAACTGATAAAAATAAAGAATGCATTTAAATAAATTTATAAATAAATAATAATAATTAATAATTACAAGAAAAAAAAATTAATTAATTTCATTATTAATTATGTATTTTCTTTTGTAAATACTTATTAACATAAAATTAATGATAATATTGTAATTATTATTATTATTACAAACAAAACGAAATTATTATTATTATTATTATTATTATTTATATAAAAATAATTTTTTCAATAAATTTAAATGATTATTAATAAACATATAAAAAAAAATTAAACTAAATTAAATATTAGCAACGTTATAACGAAAGCTTTCGAAATAATAATAATAATAACAGATTAATAAGTATCGTAATACTAATAATAATAATAATAATAATAATAATAATAATATTAATGTAATATGCGTTATTATATTGCAGGGCGGCTGGGCTGGTTTGAAAAAAAAGGAACGCACGAAAAAAATTTCTTCCTTTTGGTTTTGTTGTATATGTATATTTAAATGAATGAAAATTGCAATAATAATAATAATAATTAGATTTATTTATTAAATATATATATATATATATATATATATATATATATATATATATACATATTATACGTATGTACGTATAAATATATATTGTAAATTTTATCAATAATATATATTTTTTAAAAGTTATATATATATTTTTTTTCAGGTTTCTTTTTTGTTTATACCTGAATGAAAATCATCGATGTAATTTGTTATGAATTTATTATTATTATTATCATCATCATCACCGCGAATTTTCAACGGAAAACGTCAACCATGTTGTTGAAAATAATTTAAGGGAGAAAAAAAAAAAAAAAAAAAGGTATTTATAAGTCAGTTTTTTTTTTTTTTTTTTTTTTTCATTTAATTTTTAACGAGTCGTGGTTTTTGAATTTATTTTTTTCGAAAAACGTGGCATTAGAGAAAATTTATATTTCCGTCATGTTGATAACGCAATTTTCAACGATACCGCATTCTTTTAAACTTTTATATAAATTATCTAATAAACGAAAAGGCATTTTCCCATACACGTGCAATTCAAAATTCATTTGATTTATTTTCGTTTCCAACACGTGATCGTTGATAAATTTATCGCTTAATTTTTTCTCTATATTTTCGTGTAATTTAATTAATTTATCCGTGTCGTACATTTTTATCATGAGAGAATCCATTTTACTCAATCCGTAACGTATTTTCAATATCAATAATTTACCATCGTGTATTTTAAATCTTACATCGTTCGAATCCATCCAATCTCTATCTAATATCGTGCGTTGAGATTTTAAAAATATGTTTTTACCATCGTTCTGAAATTTAAATTGCGGGGGTGGGGGGTGTATTATTATGGATCGATTTTTCATATGTATCATCATCATCATCATCATTCTTAATTTACTTACGTTGTTAAAAGTCGTGCTTTTGCTTCCTTTTTTTAAAAATTTTTTAAATAAAAATTTATCGGTCGAATCGTAATTATTATTACGCGGGGTGCAATGATGAGATTTGGATTCGTTTAGGGAATCTAATAAAACGATTGAAGCAGGTTTGTTTTCAAAATTCGATCCCAATCTTCTACCGTTACCTTTGAAAAATTTAATTTCAGATTTTTCATAATTTTCATTTCTTCTATCGTCAATCTGAAAAGGGAAAGAAAAGAAAATTAAATTGTTTATAACGGTAAAATTGTTGTTTGTTTGTGGGTTAAACAAAACCTCAAATGGTACACCCTCTGGAAATTCGTTTTGAAGTTCGCTTGGAAAATATCCATCTTCTAAATCTTGTAAAAATATATTTGTTGAAATTTTACTGTATTCTCTGAAATCGTTACCACGTAATAAAATCCCGTTCGAATAAAATCCTATTTTTATTTCTCTTGGCGATTCGAATTTAGCACCGGTCGTCGTTTGTATTATTTTCGATTGCGATGCAACTGTATTTAATCTTTGTATATTTTTTATTATTTTATCGAAATCGGGTTTACGCGTTGTATCTTTCGAATCTCCCACCCAAAATAAACCGTAATCGTTTAAAAAATCCTAAAAAAAAAAAAAAAAACGTTAGAGGTTTCTTTTTTAAATTCTTGTAACGGTCGGCGTGACGTAATAGACGAGGAGAGAAAAAAAAGATGGCGGAGCGCGCGGAATGCACTCGCATATTTCACTTACTTCCATATCTTTGACTTGTTTTTTTAATTTTTCCGAAGCCGTTATTAATTTTTGATAATCATCCGATGTTTTATTTTTACTCGATTCATCTGAATTCTCTACGTTATTAATTTTTTCATTTTTCTGATAAATTTTTAACTAGAAAAAGAAAAAAAAAAAAAAAAAACGATCACGTCGTGATTTTTACTTACGAAATCAAATGAAAAACTTTTTTTTGGGGTGAAAAACCTTTTCGTGTAGCTGTATTATTTCTAAATCTCTTTCGTTTAATTTATTTATCGTATCGATTAAATGATTTCTAGTTATTTGCAATTCTCTTTCTGCTAAAAACATTTGATTCGTTATCAACGATATTAAATCTTGATCGATTCTTCCTCTGTTTGAAAATAGTTCGTCGAACGCGTCGCCACCGTCGCTCATGTTATTATTATTATTATTACTATTTTCTCCATTTGTAAAAATTTGTTTTTTAAATTTATTTAAACAATCCTCGTTACGTAAATTAACATCGTCTTTTTTAACAGTTAACTTTTTCCCACAACCATCATCTACAATAAATAATCAATCGTTGTTAAATTAATAATAATGATAATACCACCGTAAGCGAAACATTTTGTGTGAATCTGAACCATTATTATCTTTAACGGTTTTTTGTTTCGTTGGCATATCAAATTTCGAATCGATCGTCCATTTATTTTCACCGTGATCTCCGCTGCAAAAACTTATCGACGATTGTTGATTTTTCGATTGATGTTTAAAATATTGCGAATTTAAAAAAATATCTTCGATTTTGTAATCCGATAACAACATACCACCGTCCTAATAATAATGATAATAAAAACCGTTGGAAAATTTCTGTTTTTTTAATAATAATAATAATAATAATAATAGAGAGCACCTGATTTTTTTTTTTTTGCGTTTTTAATTTTTTTCCCATTTTGTGTTCGCATTGACATTGTTGTAAATATTTTTCTTTATCATTTGACAAATCATTTCTATTAATAATTTTACCAATGTGTTTTTTTATATCGTTTTGCCTGAATACGTGAACACTATTCGCCGTCATATTACGACTAAAATAAATTATTTTTTTAAAAATTAAACTTTTTATAAAAGCTAAAAGAAAAAATTTTTTCAAACAAACCTTTTCGAAAAATGCTTTACAATTATTTATTATATTCAAATTTTGTTATAAACCACTACTTTCTTTCATACGTCGATAAATAAATAAATAAAAATGTATTTTATAAATGTGATAATTTATTAATTATTTACAAACAAAAATTAAAATAAAAATAAAAAAAAAAAAAAATGACAAATTTATTTTTTTTAATTAAAAATAAATTATTACCGCATGACATTGAAAAATGGCGGACTGAGTTACACACACACAAAAAAAAAAAAAAACGTCATAAAGAAACCGTTGAAATTGTTGTTACCATGGCAACCGTTCCAAATAACTGTTGTTTATTTTATAATTCGTGCTCGGTCAGCATTTTTTTTTATCGCAGTCGTTTCACATTTTCATTTCCGTTTTATCATTATTATTATTATTATGTTACAAAAGATTTTTTTTTTTTGTATTTTTCGCAGTTGGCTTTACGAAAACAAGTAGTAAACAAATATAGGGTTGGGAAATAAAAATTTTAAAACTTTTAAAAAAAAAAAAAAAAAAAAAAAAAAAAAAAATCAAACAAAATACTTTCGATCGCGTTCTCGCATTCCTCCCCCCCTTCCCGCTCTATCGGTTCTCGCGAATAATTTAATTTAATTTTTTTTTTGTTTTTTTTTTCTTATTATTATTATTATTATTCTACAAAATATTGAAAATGGGACATGATGCAATATCAGCACAAAAATTTAGAGAATCGTTAAGGAGACCAGGTAAGTTATATTTTCACTCATTATATTAAGTGTATGGAATTAATTAAATTAAGAAGAGTTTCTATTATTTTGTTGATTTTTTTTTCCAGAACCCAAAGTAAGAAAAGTTCCAGCATTTACAATTCAAGCTTATCAAAGAAATACAAAAGTAATACCATTGCCAAAAATTGATTTTTATAAAATAGTCGAACCGAAACCATCAGCACTCAGAAGAGCATATCTCAATCAAAATTTACCAATAAATATTGAAATCGAAGGAGGAGGAACGGTTCTTAAATGGCGGGTAAATACATATATCCTCACAAATTTGTTTTTTTTTACATTGATGTGTGATTGATTCGAATTGTTCTCTTTCTTTGTTTTAGGAGGATATAGAATTATTAGATTTTCATCATTATCTCCCGATATTTTTTGATGGTTTAACAGAAAAAGAAAATCCATTTAAATTTATATCAGAACAAGGGATACACGACATGTTAGTCAAAGCAGGACATAAAGTTTTACCTGTCATACCTCAGCTAATACTACCTATAAAAAGTAACATTTGTGAATTTTTTGTGTGTTTGTCGGGGAAAAGAACGACATGGAAGTATAATTTATATATTAATTTTTAGGAGCATTAGCGACAAAAAATCCTCCCATCATGTGTACAACATTGAAAGTTTTACAACATCTCGTCATGTCAGGTGATATGGTTGGAGAAGCTCTTGTTCCATACTACAGACAAATCCTTCCAGTATTGAATTTGTTTTGTAATAAAAACAGTAAGTAAGGAAATTTAAAAGTTTAATAACTATTCGAATCTATCATACATTACATAATTTTTGTTTTTTTTTTTTCATATAGAAAATTTATGGGATGGAATAGATTATTCTCAACAGAGAAGAGAAAACGTTGCAGATTTAATACAAGAAACTCTTGAAGTTTTAGAAAGATACGGTGGAGAAGATGCATTTATTAATATTAAATACATGGTACCAACTTATGAATCTTGCATGCTGAATTAAAAAAAAAAAAAAAAAAAAAAAAAAAAAAAAAAGCTCAGATATAATTAATATATATATATAAATCGATTGATAAAATTTCTTAATTAAAATAAATAAATATATATATATATATAATTATTATAATATTTAAATGATTTAAAATGAAGGAAATGGAAAGAATGGAATTTTTTTTTTTAATCGTACTTTTAAATAATAATAATAATAATTATATGTAATGGATGATTAAATATTACTTGAACAATTCGTTATAATAAATATATATATATATATATAAGATAATAATAATAATAATAAGTTTATTTATCAAAATAACGAAAAATTTAACAAAATTATGGATTTATTTATGGTTTTAAGTTAAATGGAAAAACGTTTTAGTGATGGTTAATTAATTATTAATAAGTAATGATGGAAGTAAAAATAATAATGTTATTAACGTATATGAAACGAATAGATTTTCGGATCCACCGCCTTCGAAATTACAAAAAGGTGTTTCGCAACAAGTCGAACACACTCGAATTTTAGTTCTTTCACCTAAAAATAAAATTAAATGTATTTAGAAATTGAAATTTTTTTAACAATTAATAGAAAAGAGAAGAGAAGGAAGTTAAAAAAAAATTAATAATCAATCAATCGATTAACTGTAAATCGGCAGAATGTAAAGAACGGTGGACGACGACGTTAATAAAAATAATTATCAATTAATAATTTAGTCCGTTAAAAAAAAAAAAAATTTTTTTAATACCTTCTAAAAAATATCGTAGTTTTTATGTAAAATCCATATAATAAATAATAATTTGTTTAAAACATTTTAAAAATTTATGAAAAGTTATTAAATTACACGTTAATAAAATGTAAATTGATAATGATTTATTATTATTATTATAGGACGCTCCGTTTCCACCGTTGCAAAAATTTTGCCCTTCACAGCAAGAAATGCATTGGTACAATTTTATTCTTTCACCTAAAACAAATAGAAAGAAAGAAAGAAAAACAGAAAAAAACAGAAAAAGAAAAAAAAAAGAAAGAAAAAAATGGAATTGAAAAGAAGGAAACGAAAGAAAGTAAGTAAACAAAAGTAATTCTTTTTTTTAACGTAAGAGGGCGAAATTGTAGCTTGTATAAAATTCAAGCAGACGACAACGAATTTTAAATTGTTGTTGTTGTTTGATTTATACCTATTATTATACATCCGGGTTCGCATTTTTGTGTGCAATTTCTTTCTAGTGACCATACTTTATGTACGCTACCCGAACTATTACTCGTCGATGCCGAATAAGAAACTCTTTTAACCTGTAAACACCCCCCAACCCCCATAAATTAATTAAATACCGGGGGGGAAAAGTTTTTTTCTTATTCTATGACTTTTTTTCAACTCACCATACACATTCTCATGTCACCGTGACATTTATAATGAAGTGACGAATCGTTTCTTGTCACGTTCATACAATATTCTTTATTTATATCCATCGTATAACACATGTGACACCAAAGACCGTTTGATTTTTCTACTGCTTTATACGTTCTGTGTTTATGCTCGTATTTCAATATGTCTTCTCCGACTGTAATAATAATAATAATAATAATAATAATTAAAAAGAAAACCGTTTTGTCTTTTGTATTAGAGAGAGAGAGAGAGAAATAGAAGAAAATTTATTACCTGATACATGACACGTTCCCAAAAGGATTAAACATTTTACGCATATTAAATCCGTTAAACCTAATCTCATTATTATTATTATTATTATTATTTTCTGGTATATTTTTCAACAATATATAGGAAATTTTTAATTTTTTTTTTACACCATTTTCTAGAAAAAAAAAGAAAAAATATAAGAGGGGGAAAATTACATGAATGATGTGATCAAATTAATTCGTTATTGTTAAATTTATAAAAATCTCATGTTTAATGTTGTTCACTTATGGAGAAAAATTAATTAATAATTTATTTATTTATAATTTTAAAAATAATAATAATAATAATAATAAGATGCTGGAGTAAATCGGGATAGATTAATGTCGTACTTACGATACCGACACAACAACACTTTATAAATTCTAATTCATTTCTTTAATTTCAATTTAAAAAAAAAAAAAAACATTTTAATTAATAATAATAATAATGATTTTACGTTTTATTTTAAGAAAAAATTATAATTTATCTTATTTCTTTTCGGATGTTGATGGCGATGATGATGATGATGATGATGATAAAAGTTAAAAAACATTTTATCGATTTTTTATTCTTTTTAAGATGAATATATTGTCGCTTTCGTTAAGATGAAAAAAAAAGTTCGTTAAAATCCCGTTAGATGTCACTAGTGTTACAATTGCAGGAAGTGATCAACTGTTTTACCGACATTAATTTTTTTGTTTTGTTTTTTTTTTTTATTTCCTTTTTAATTTAAAAAAAATTTAATAAGTTATATTAATAATAATATTAATAATAATGTAATAATAATATTTATTATTATTATTATTATTATTGTAACGGATGACGGTAGTGTTTTTTAATTACATAATCGATTTATTATTATTATTATTATTATTTATAGAATTAATAATGAAAATGTCGTCGTCTGTGTAAAAATGGTCACCGTTATTAAACGATAGCAAAAGAGGAAGAAAATAATTAATCGGTTTTAATGGCGGATAGCAAATGTGAATGTTTTCCTTCCTTTCGGATAAATCCAATGGTAAGTTTTCTTTTTTTTATTTTTCTTTTTTCTTTTCCGGAACGGGAAAATTTACGAGGGGGGGGAAAGAGGGAAGGAGGGAGGGAGAGAGAGAGAGAGAGAGAAAAGAGTTTACATAAAGTTTAGGGTTTCGATATTTGTCTTAAAATATCTAGAATATTCTATTTGGAAAATCGATTCCAGTTAAAAATAATAAAAGGAAAAATTTTTATAAATAAACTATGACCTCGAAAAATATTTTCAATGGCAATATCAATCAATCGTAGATAAAAGTTTTTTTTTTTATTTTTTTTATTTTATTTTTCCAGACGCTTTGACACTATTAAATATTTAAAATAAATTTATCTGGAATATTCTATGATTTTTTTTTTTTAATGTTTATAAATTTATTCGGGTGTATTTTCTCTTCTTCTTATTTTAATGGCGTCTTAAATAAGAAGAAAAAAAAATTTATTTATTTATTTATTCTGACCCGTAATAAAAGAGTTCATTTGTCCAGTAATAAATTTATTTAGTAGTAAAATCAAGCAGACGACGCAAAAAAAAAGAAAAATCCCTTTTCCGTTTCCGGTAAAATTTATATAAATTATTTTAAATGAAATTTCAAACAACAAAAATTATTATTATTATTATTTTGTATTTTGAAAAAAAAAAAAAAAAAAAAAAACGTTAAAAATAAAAAATAAAAATGGCGGAGCGGATGTAAGAAAAAAATTTTCCGGGAAAATAAAAAAAAATTTCGCGTGATTCGATTTTAATATTCAAAAAGAAAAACAAAAAGTTTTTTTTTTTTTGTAGTTGTGTCCGAGACTCCGCCATGTTTTTTTTTTATTTCCCCCCCCCATTAGGAATCGATCGATCGATCGATCGATATATCGACTCAGACTCGGTAGACATTGATACACCGCGAAACGTTGAACTTTTTTTTTTTTAACCTCTCGGGCATTAATATTAATTTTCATGTTTTAAATTAAATTAACGATCCATTTTCTTTTCGAAACAAAAAAAAAAAATTAATAATAATGATGATGATGATGATGTTGATAATGTTTAAATTTTCCTCCTCTTATTATTAAATTCATCTCGTCGTTTTTCCTTTTTTTTTTTTTTTTTTTTAGTAAGTAAAAAAAAACGTAATAATTAAAAAATGAAAATTAATGACTGAAAATTATTATTATAATTATTATTATTCATAATTTATTTACTTACATTTTTTTGTTTTTAAATTTTGAAAAGTGTGAGAGAGAGAGAGAGAGAAAGGGGAAGAAGAGAAAGAGAGAAAAGGGAAAAAGGGAATGAAAGAGGGGGAGAGAATAAGAAAAACAGGAAAGAGAGAGTGTGAGAAAGAAAGAAAAAAAAATTTTTAAAGTTAAGAAACGAAAAAAAAAAAAAGGGTAAGAGAGGGAGAGAGAAAGAAAGTAAGAGAAAGGGATAGACAGAGAGAGAGAGAGAGTGAGAGAGGGAGGAGGAGAAAAGGGAATAAGCAAAGAAAAAATGAAGGAAAAAAGGAAAAAAAAAAGGCATGATGAGAGAGAAAAAAAGAATGAGATGGAGAGTGAGAGTAAAAAACAGAATGAAAGAAAGAGAAAGAGAAAAAAAAGAGAATAAAAGAGAAAGAGAGAAGAAGAGAATAAGAGAGAGAGAGAGAAATAAAAAAACAGAATAAGAAATAGAATAAGAAAGAGAATAAGAAAGAGAATAAGAAAGATTGAGTATGAAAGAAAAAGAAAAAGAGGAATGAATGAGAGAAAAAGAAAAACAGGAAAGAGAGAGAGAATGAGAGAAAAAGAAAAACAGAAAAGAGAGAGCGTGAGAGAGAGAGAAAGAAAAAGAGAAAAAGTAAGAGAACGAGACAGGCAGGGGGAGAAAGAAAGAAAGACGGTCAAAAGAGAATATAGAGAGAAAAAGAAAAGCAGTTAAAAGAGGAGAGAGAAAAAGAGAGAAAACAGGAAAGGGGAGAGAGAGAGGGATAGAGAGAGAGAGAGAAATATATTAATATTTAATAATAATTATTTGTAATGTACATGAACTCTAAAATTTTCTGTTCGCGTAAAAATGAAAAAAAAATTAAACGACAGATTTTTTATTTTTAATTTTCCCGAAAATAATAATATATATAATAATAATAATAATAATAATAATAATATTAATATATAATAATAATAATAATAATAATGAAAATAATATTCAATAATAGTAATAATAATAATAAAACAGTTTTTAAGAAAAAATTATGATTCGATAATATTGAAAAAAAATTTAATATAAATTTTCAATTTTCATCGATTTTAAATATAACGTAAAAATACGGTATGATAATAATAATAATAATAATAATAATAATAATAATAATAATAATAATAATAATAATAATAATATTAATATTAATGATATCTACGACGACGACGATGATGATGATAATATTATAATTATTAATAAAAACGACTCCGTGAAAGTATTATAAAGTTTATTAAATATAAGATTTTACCTAATTAAATTTAATACCAACCTTAAAAAATAAAAAAAAAAAAACGGAAAAAAGGGTAAATAAATAAACAAAAGGGTTCGATAATGATAATGATGATGATAATAATACGATACAAAAAGGATTTTCCGATACCTGAGAATCCTTTTTTTTTTTTTTATCATCATCCGATTAGTGACTTTTTTTTTTGTTTCGAGATTTAAAATTTTACAAATCGGAAAAACCACAACAACAACAATAATAATAATAATAATTTTCTTATTAATTTTATCAAGTCGATGAATTTTAACTTAGTCACGAGTTTCTTTTTTTGAGGGGGGGAGAGATCGGGGGGCGGGAAGCGAGGGGCTAGGGTGTAAAGGGTTAAAGGTAAAATCGTTCGCGTGTCACGTTTAAAAACGTGTCATTAGTAAAAAAAAAAAAAATGAAATGAAATTTACTTTTTTATATTCTCTTATAATCACGATTTCGATAATAATAATAATAATGATGATGATGATGATAATGATAATGATAAAGAAAATTTTTTTTTAAAGTTTTATTTATTATTATCATTTCGCGACGCGTTTTTACATTCATTTTTTTTTTTTACAATTCAACCTTGACATCTTTTCGAGATGTTTCTGGAATAAAACGAGATGATAATAATATTTATGATAATAATAATAATAATAATAATTATTATTATTATTTATTTTCCGGATGGAAAAAAATTAAGTTAAACGGAAACATAAATAAATAAATAAATAAAAATAGAAACGTTTTTTTAAAACGAAAAATTTCAATAAGAGTTACATTAATGATGATAATAATAATAATAATGATGATGATGATGACGATGATGATAATAATGGACGGTTTCTCATAATAATAATAATCATAATCATTAAAATCTGGGGGGAAAAAAAAAGATTTCGTTTTTCGTTTTTTTTTTTCTGTTATTATTTTTCTTTTTCTTTTTTTTTTTGCTTTTCTCTCTCTCTTTCTCTCTTTCGTTTTATTTTTTTTGCTCCGGTTTTGCTTTTGCGTTTTGCTTCAGCTCGGAAATGGATTTTGCAACAGATGGGTTTACATCGACGCCGAAACCCGGGATTCCTTGTCGAAAGCTCGTTAAACGCGGTTATTTTTTTCTTTTTACGCGCTTTTTTATTTTTCTTTTAAATTTTTTTTTCGTTTTTTCATTCTTCTTATAAGCCAAAACGTTTTGTTTTTTTCCTCTGCTTTTTGTTTTTGTTTTTTTAAGCTTTCGCGTATTATTAATTTCGCACGGTTTTTATATAAATAAAATAATAATAATTATTATTATAAATTACGGTGTAATAAATAAATAAATAAATAAATCGTCGCTTTTTTGTTTTGTGACTATTTTTTTTTTTTGGGGGGGGTGGGGATGTAGGGTTCGTGGTGTAAAAATATTCATGTGAATAAAAACGTTAAATTTTTTAAATATCTGACGTCATCAACAAAATAAAAAAATTTGGAATTGTTATTATTATTATTATCGTAAATAAGGT